GTCTGTCAACTGATGACTGGATAATGAAAGCAAGACACATATGCACAATGCGATTTTAATCTAGCTGAAAAGAAAAATGGGGTTATGAAATATGCAGTTTAAATATATGGAGCTAAAAAAATATTGTGCCAAGTAAGGTAACCCAGGCCCCAAAAGACAAACACACTCTCAGTGGATTCTAGTTTTGAATTTTCAGATATATATGTTTAACTTAGAATAGTGGTAGAGTCATGGAAGCCAGAAAGAGGCCATTGGAGTGGGGATCCTAAAAGAGGGGGGATGGTAGAACACAGGTAATAGGAGAGCAGAGGTAGAAATGTTTATATAGGTAGGAGGTAGGAGGATGGGGTTGGGGTCAACCAAAACAAAGGCTGTATGAAAAACCTATTATTTTGTAGCCATACAAAAACCTATTATTTTGTAGGTCAATTAAAAAGAATAAGCATAAACAAATAAGCAAACCAAAGAGTTTGGGGGATATCCTGCATGGCTGGATAAGGCTGCTCTTAGAAACCATGGCCATTAAAAAAATCCCACTGACAAGTGTAGGATACCTTTTTTGCATTGTTCAAAAAGGAGGTTCCAGATGCACACCCCAAAAACAATACATGGCCTTTCCATTCCTCTTGGTTGTCCACCAGAACAAGACAATGAGAGCCTGTTGCTTGAAGACACCATACACTTTGGTGAGAAACCAAGCTGGAGGCTTCCTTCCGGCAGACTAGCTTTCATAGTGCTAGAATGTATTGTACAGGCTACTCAATAGCTGTTTGAGACAGATGCTGCCATTGTCTGTCTCATGGTAGAGGTGAGGAAACAGACATGTCAAATACCCCACTGTATTTCTTCCCAAATACAATGTGATAAAACCGTCCTGTGCTCTGCCAGCATGTAATAGCTATGACTTAAGGAAACACTAAGCTGATAGTCAAAGGATTAGAGCGGGCTCATTTGGCAGTAGGGTATGTAAAAGAGAAGTGTTAGACCTGCACGTGCAAACAATGAACTGAAAAAAGAAAAGTTATATCTAGCCAAGATCTGAAAGTAAGGTATGAGGACACTATGGCATGAAGGATCTGGAGGTAAGAGTTTATGAAGGTCCTTGTGGGCTAGCTTGGGGATGACACAGCCATGGCTTATCAAGACCAGACACCTCCCCCTATATTCAGGCTGGGCAAGGCACAACAGCATTAAAATAGGTTCCCAAGAGCCAGTCTGCTACGCTTTGCTGATGCTTATGGAAAGCCTGACCTTTTCTGAGTAGATACAGAGGAGAGATGGGGGAGTGCAGAAGGGAGGTGGGAAGGGGAGTTGGGGGAGAGGAGAAAGGGCAGGTTGCAATTGGGATGTAATTAATTAATACAAAAAGAAAGTTAAAAAAAAAAACACCACCAAAATCCATGGATGCCTGGGGGCTGGGAGAGGAGCACAAATAAGAACAAAGTGTCACTGCATACCATGAAAATGGCACAATGAAACCTAGTACTTTGTGTGCTAACTACAAGTTATTAAGAATGGAGACAAAGGAAATTGAAAAATGTATTATCCATAGCCACAGCCATGGCCATACAGTTTCTGAAGTTGTAGAATAATTTTGGTGGCAAGTACTCTCTATCCCAGTCCTTATATATCTTCTGGTGGTCTCTTCCCAATACCTAGGGTTATTTTGAGTTGTCAGTATGAGGATTTCATTAATATCTTTCCCTTCTCAATCAATCCAATCTAGTAAAACAACGCTTAAAACTGCAACTTTTCAATAATTTAAACAGTTTTTGAAAATTTTGTGTTCTAGTGTTTGGCCTGCACTTATGTCTACACCATGTCTGCAGTACCTGTAGTGGCCAAAAGAGGGTATTAGGCTCCCCTGGAACTGGATTTACAGATATTTGTGAGCCACCATGTGGGTGCTAGAAAGTGAACACAGATCTTTGGGAAGAGTAGCCAATGCTCTTAACTTTGGGGTCATTCTACCAAAGACCTGCTTTTCAGGGGTTCAGGTCCTAAAGAGGATGTGTGGAGTCCATGGGTGAGGCACTGAGGAGAAGGAGCAGAGGGACACAATCTGAGGGTGAATCAGATGGCTCCTAGCAGCATTTACTAGAACAAAGTCTCTGCCTTTTATTGCACATAGGATTAAATGGGAGAAAAGGGGCAAGAGAGCTGGGGTGTGGCTTGAGATGAGAGATCCAGGAAGCTAGCCTTGACCTTGACAATAGACAACAGCCATAAGTTCCTCTTGCTATGGACAAGAATGACTGCTTTACAAGCAGGAACATTCCTCAAGGAATGGAGACCCTTATCCGAATGCCTGACCATGGAAAAGGACTTCTGGGGAGTAGACAACATACTACAGTTTCCTAGTCTTACTATATGGGTCTGTTCCCCTCATATGCTCCCAAAAGGAAAGGTCCTGATGTCTTACTCTTTTCTGTTACATTCTGATTTCTCTATATTTATTAACTGAACTCATGCCCTTAATGGTCTCAAGCTCTGGGACTGAATTGTAGGCACTTCATCCTTGGGATCAGGTGTGTCTAGTAAATCTCTAATATTTGTTCTTGGTGTAATTAGGAAGGCACAATGGGACTCCTGGTTCAGCTGTGGTGGGGACTTTTTTCCCAAAGAATTATTTTGTTTAGAGAGGCTACCATTGTACCCATTTTTATCCTTCACCGAAGCCTGCACAAAATTTCCCAAAGGGAAAGGCATTAACATTGAGAATCATTAGAAAGGAAAGTAAAAAGGTGCTGGAGAAATGTGGTCTGCAATGTGGTTAAAATGCTGGAACTTTGTCAAGCAGCAATGGCTGTCATATATCATTCATTTCTCCTGCCCTGAAACTATAGCTTAAGAAAAATTTAGGGCACTATGACCCATGCCTATAACCCCAGACTCAGGAGGACTAAGAGTGTACATTCATGCTCAGATACGTAGTGAGCTTGTGGGCAGCATGAGCTACTGAAACCCTGTTTCAAAAACATGGTCATTTTATGTTTGTTGACCACACACACCGAGTAATATACATTCAAGCCTGACACTTGCTGAGCATTTTTTTTTTCTTTTAGTACTGGATGATGAAACTATAAGAATAAAAGGAATTTTCTTATACATAAGATGATAGAATTTTCCTAGGGAGACAGACATGTAAATATTGTTTTTTAAAAAGATTTATCTATTATGTATACAGTATACTGCATGTATGTATGCCTGCATGCCAGAAGAGGGCACCAGATCTCATTACAGATGGTTGTGAGCCACCATGTAGTTGCTGGGACTTGAACTCAAGACCTCTGAGAAAGCAGCCAGTGTTCTTAACCGCTAAGCCATCTCTCCAGTCTCCTAAACAGATATCTTAAATGCAGGGTAGTGTAGTGAACACTTAACAAAGAAAGCTCATGAGATCAAAGCAGTACTGGTATTGTGATGGTCAGCCTGTTTAAAATAGATTTTTATTCGTATTTGTCTGTGTATATGAGTGTAGTACCTGCCAACGCCGGAAGAGGGCATAAAATTCCTGGGAACTGGAGTTACAGGCGTCTATGAGCCACTGACATGGGTGGCTCCATGGGAAAGGAACCTTGGTCTTCTGGAAGTGCAACAAGTCCTCTTAACCATGCAGCCCATCCAGCCCCACAATGGTTAATCTTGCTTTCCAATTTGAGAGGATTTAGTCACCTAACAGTGGTTCTCAACCTGTGGATCTCAACCTCATTGGGTGAGTCACATATCAGATATCTACCCTACAAGTCATAACAGTAGCAAAAATGCAGTTATGAAGAAGTAACAAAACAATTTTATGATGGGGGAGGTGGACGGTCACCACAACATAGGAAGGTTGAGAATCACTGACCTAGGAGAAATAGTCTGGGCATATCTATGAGGTCATTTCCATAGTTTTAACTAAAAATTATGTACCCTGAATGGGGGAGCCCTGAATGGGGGAGCCACCATCTCACGGGCTCCAGCCCCAGACAAAATACCAAAGGACACCGGTGAAAGCAAAAGGACACCGGTGTTCATCTCTGCACTTCTGCCTGCAGAACCAAAGTGGCCAGCCGCCTCATTCTTCCCAAAGAGAGACTTGTTCTAGCCTGGTCCTCCATGCTGTACTGTACTCTCAAAATGTGAGCCAAGGGTCATGGGAGGGTGGCTCAGTGGTAAGAGCACCTGTTGCTCTCACAGAGGGCTTGTTTCCGTTCCCAGCACCCTCAGGGTGACTCACAACCATCTATCTGAAATTCCAGTTCCAGGATTCCCAGACGTGTGTTGGCAAATACGTCTAACCCTCTTAAAGGAGTGTGAGGGCACCGGGCACACATATACAGTCAAACAAAACACATTTTTAAGAAATTACTAAGTTTAATGGAAAGATTTAGGGAAATGACTCATGTGCAGCATCGTAGCTAATGTACGTTAGTTGTGATGGCATTGTCTTAAATTGCTACACACATACATCCATCTTATTGAAAAAAGGATTTAGTCCCAGGGAGCCCCTAAATCTTTGTCAACTTCCTTGTGCGGCCACACACACTGTCCTTTCAATTGCCTTCCTATTTCAATTGGTTTAGTGAGGACGGATGGCGGGACTTGACTTGGGACCGAGGTTATGACCTTCCCCCAAGTTCGATAACACCGACACCACCCTGGAGTCCGTCTGCGGCTGTAGGTCAGTGATCAAACTAGCTCGTTCTTTCTTTGGGGTTCTACATACACCAAGTCTTGGATCTTCGACTTAGAAAGATGTAAAAGCCTCTTGTCCGAGTTTTGCTTCGTCAGCAGAACTTTATGCAAATCACGCTCTAGACCTCCTGGCATGGGCTGTGGGAAGTCTACGCATCTTCACACGCCTCTCTATAACCGTCCACGCGAGTCCAGACCCAGCGCACACCCTGGCTGCCTCCTTAGCCCTCGCTCCCCCGGGATCGCAAGCGTGGGAGCCCCGGCACAGAGAGACTCCCTACCCCTCCCACGCCCTCTTTCCTTCCTGGCCGGACGGACGCACTTCCGGCGGATGTGGGTGGGCTCGTCCCCGGAAACGGAAGTGAACAGCCTGGCCGGCCGACTATTGCGGGCTCAGAGGCTTTGGCAGAGCGGTTTCCAAGATGGTGAGTGAGCGCGAATGACTGTAGTCGCGGCGGGTGTCCGTGGCGCGGGCACGGCCATGGCTGCGCGATCCCGGCGGGTGTTCGGCGTGGCCATGACCCCGGCTGCGCGCTCTCGGGTAGTGCTGGTTCCCCTAGGACCGCGCGCTTCGGTCCCCGGGGCATTCCAGGCCTGCGCGCCCCTTCCCCTTGTTAGCGGGGACGCGCAGGACACTTCTGAAAGCCGAGCCTTGTGTGGGTGTTGGGATACCGCCACTCTCTCCCTCGGGTGATTGGAACCTACGGCCCCAAGTTCTGGCCATGACCGCAGGTTGCATCAATACAACTCAGCCTCGGTTTACAAACATCTCTCCCTGTGCCGTGTGTTGCGGCGCAGTAACCCTGTTGTTGCTCCAGGCTTGTCTGCATTGGTTAGTGCTTGGACTCCCTCGCTCCCCGCGTTTGGCCTCTCCTCCTTTCCCACTTTCTGTTTCTCTTTGAGCAGAACTCCTGAGTCACCATGGCACCGACCTGATACAAGCACTCCTTGTAGCCAGCCCATCTACTTTTGTGTTGACAGATAACGTTATCCATTGTAAAGGAGTGTGAGGAACACTCAGAAATGAGAATGGTTTTAGTTCTTAGTGGACTTATTTTATCTGACACTGGACTAGAACCTTAAGGAGTCCTGGTATTTTTACAGAAGGACTAGCACAGCACTAGCGTGCACAGAGAAATTTTGCTTTGTCACTTTTCAGTAAAGCAGCCCACAGGCGGAGAATGTAGGGTGGTGATGCCAATTAGCATTGGGAAAGCTATAGTCCTATGGGGTTAGTTCTGGAAGTCACAGAGTAGGTGACAGTCTATGTTAGATTGCAGATTCTCCTCCTCATCCACCGTGGCATCCTGTGAGAAGGAATGGGAACAGTGTAGGCTTTGATTTGTGGACTCAGGGCCCTGAACTTCATTTTTCAGATGTTAATAAGCATAGAAGGTTTTTTTTTTTTTTTTAAGCATTTTTGGTTGGAGAGGTTGTGTTTTTAGAGAATCCTTGCTATGCAGAATTGGGAAGTTGGTGAGGTTCAAGCAATGCTGGTGACAGACACACACACAGCTGCAAGCTACCAAGTAAAATACACAGATGAACTAAATAATATATTTTTAAAAAGCTACTTTCTCACAATAGTTCTAGACTAGTATTAGATACTAGGTTACCCATGGGCTTGCTCTTTTCTGTACTCAAGATGATGGGATGTTAGATATAAGATGACAGTGTAAGTTCCAGAGGTTTACCTTTCTCTCTCTCTCATAGCTTTGGAGTCTATAAACCAGGCTGGCCTTGAACTCACAGAGATCAGCCTGTCTCTGCTTCCTGAGTCCTGGGATTAAAGGCATGTGCCACCACCGTCCAGCTTTTTATGGCATCTCAATTAGCTGCATTTATTTTTACTTATAATAAACAACTGCTCCCTCTTTCTCTGAGTTCCTATGACCTCATTTTCCTAGGTGCCATGTCTTAATTCCATGTCTTTTATTGTTTGTAGATCTGTCCTAAAGGATTGGTATTCCCCAGTGTTCCATCCTCGGCCCTTTTCATTGTGTTAAATCTTGCATTTCTTTGCAGTAAACCTAAGGGAGGTCTCTTTCCAGTGAATGAATCTTATTGCTCTTACCATAGACCTTCCAAAACTTGTCAGTTTACTCAGGTTTTTTTCTTTTTTATATATATATGACAGTCCATCTTTGAATTTTGCCACTTCATTATTAGGTAGTCACTCATTTCAGACTGGTTGTAGTTTGTATATTCATATGTTTTCATAAAATGCTTTCCCTGCTGACACATTCAGAAGTCAGAGTGGGGGAGTCCTTCTCTCCCAAATGTGGTTTTACTCACTGTACCTTGTGTGCTGGCTGCCACAGTACTTAGTCTCTGTCTGTGTAGATCCCAGGCTCCTTGAGGGCACAGCCCTTATCTTGTGTCTTCTTTAACTGCCATGCTGACTTTGTGTTGTAGAATGCCAGAGGCCTTGGGTCACAGCTGAAGGACAGTATTCCAGTGACAGAGCTCTCAGCGAGTGGGCCCTTCGAGAGCCATGACCTTCTCCGGAAAGGGTATGTGGGGAATTGTGGCTGTGCCTTACCTTAATGACATGCTTCTTGTGGGTTTTCTTCAAGGTCCTCTTTTTGAAAGGTGTGTTGGATTTAGGCCGTGGTGAGTTATTCGCTCAAATGGAGTGTGGTCAGGAAGAGGCCCACGTGTTCCTTGCACTGGGATAAGTGTCTCAGCAGAGTAAGAGCAGGGCGTCCTCTTAGTGCTTGCACCTTGTAGGGTGATTGGTCGGACTCTGGGGTTTTCTGGTGAGGGGCTAGCACTGGGGGCTGAACCTAAGATGTCACACCCTGGGAGGCCAGTGCTCTATCACTGAGATAGGTAGCCCAAATTCTTGATTTAGTGGGAGTCTTACTGCTCATAACTCAGAGAGCCATTGACTTCCCTGTGCTACTAACTGCTGGAATAATTAACTTTCCTTTGGGAGACACTAGAATGTAGCAGTTAGGATGATTAACACTTTACCAGGCTTGGATCCCCAGTGCCCATGTGAAAGCAAGGTCAGCCTAGCCAACTGATGATCTCTTGTCCAGTGAGAGACCCTGCCTCAGAATATAAGGTGGAGAGCAACAAAGGAATCATTAATGCCAACTTCTGGCCTACATGTGCACTACCTGTGTGTATGTATGTGCATGCACACACTCACACACAAGTTTCTCTTAAGAAACTATGGAGTACAGCAAGGAAAGTAGCCTTCTATACACAGCAGGACTGAAGCACGTAAGAACTCCCAGAGATCATCAGTATGGAGAGCCTGCATGGGGTCCCAGTGGGAGTGGGAATAGGAGTATGTATACAAACCACTCGTGTCCAGCCATAGACAGAAAACACAAAGACTCATAACTTTGGAGGGGTTTTGTGTGTTTACTTCTTAATGCTTTGTCTGGGCTTTCTCTCTCTTTTCTTACAGGCTTTTTGCTTATATATTATGGTTTCTGTTTTTTATGGGATTTCTGTGTGTGCAAATGTGTCTTGTGTCTGCATGTGCCTTATGCTTTCTCTTTGGCTCTTTTTTTTTTTTTTTCCTGTTTTTTGTCCAATTCTGGTTTATATATTTCTATGTATTATTCTTAGTTACCTGTTTTCTAATGAGAAAGAAAGGGTGTAGATTTGGATGGGCAGGGAGGAGAGGGGGGTGTGGGAGGGTTTAGGGGAGGGGAAATGGTATCAGAATATATTGTATGAAGTAAGTCTATTTTCAACAAAAGACAAGGAAAGGAGGAGAGAGGGGAAGGTGCTTTGTGTGGCCTGGCTTGGGTCCCAGCTCTGCTGTCCTCTGGAAGCATGTCTCGTGACAGGTTGTTTACTTGCTGTCTCAGTGTTGTCATGTATGACAGGACTTGCAGTGCATCTCTTACTGTGAGGGGGAAGGGGTCATCCCTGAGGACACCTAAGTGGTACCTGCTGTTATTGAGCACCAAGTGTTGGCTGCTACTGCTGCTGTCTTCCAGCTCCCGGGCATGCCTGCTTCTGTAATTTCCTTTGTGTTCAGATGTGTTTCCAGTAGTCTGTCCTTGGCATATCGCATTTCTGTTCAGTTGTACGAGATCAGTATGGCTTCCCATAAATACCCCTAAGTTTTATCTAAAGAGTTTACATCTAAATGTGAGTGCTGACTTTTCCTGCAGTGAAATGCCCTTCCAGTGCTAAGTCTGGGAACATACATAATCCCATTTGGATTTGCAGTAAAAGACACAGGACATCTCTTGAATTGGAGGTGTAATTTGATTTGTAGTAAAATTAATAGGAAAGGGCTGGAGAGATGGCTCAGCAATTAAGAGCACTTACTCTTACAGAGGACAGCTCCTAGCACCACATGGAGGCTTGTAACCATCCGTAACTCCATTTCCAGGGAACAGGTACACTCTTCTGGCCTCTGTGGGAACCAGGTATACACAAGGTGCACATACATATACGCAGGCAAACACAGACAAAATAAGTGTCTTTAAAGAAAATTAATAGGCTAGCTGCCAACCAAGGCCTGGTGAGTTTTTGCTTCCATGTGAGATGTAACTTCTTCCCAGTTAGCCAGTACAGCTGCATCCGAAGGACTGTTCTCATGGTCTAGCTCTCCGATGATGCTCTTCACAGACAGTACCCAGCAAATGGCCATTGCAGGTTCTCTAAGGTTCCCTCCCCCCCAGCCCCTGGCTCAGACAGTACTTACATGACAGTGACTGTTGGTGTGCTTCTAGCTGTGGCTCCTTAAGCATGTGGTTTGACACATCTTTAGAAGAGGAACTATACATATTGAAGAGCTTTAGCTGTTCTGTCCTAAGAAAAGTATTCTATCAGAGTGGCAGTGATAACAAACACATGCTTAGTAAATTCTTTTAAAACAATTTCAAATTCTTCATTAGATTTCCATGAGAATCCATGAAAGATATCAAGACAAAAATGAAACTCAGTGGAAATAGTTTAATGGTAAAAATGTGTAAGATATATTGGATTTTCAGTGGCACTGCTATCTATTCTTTTGTTTTGTTTTGTTTTTGAGTCAGGGTTTCTCTGTAGTTTTGGAGGTTGTCCTAGAACTCATTCAGTAGACCAGGCTGGCCTCGAACTCACAGACATCCACCTGTCTCTGTGATGACAACAAGGTTCTCACCTCCAAAAAACTCCGTCACACACTACTGTTGTCTAATGAGTCTTGGGGTGTTGGGGATCGTGCCCCAGGCCTCATGCTTGCTAGTGCTCACCCACTGAACCTAGACCACGCCCCGGTGCTCTACAGTTACATGTACACCTTTGACCTGTGGTAGAGAGTGATGTGTGATCTCCTGGTAAATATTTTGGTTTTCCCCCTTTAGATTTTCTTGTGTGAAAAATGAACTTTTGCCCAGTCACCCTCTTGAATTATCAGAAAAAAATGTGAGTATGTTACCTGTGTCTTCCGTTTTATCCTCTGCTTGAAAAATAAAAGTAGGTGTGGCACTTCTTTTGAGTCACGTTAGAAGACCTTTGGGGTACCATTGTTGTATGCGGTGGGAAGACAGGCAGATCCCTGGTTCTTACTGGCCAGCCTAGCTGAATCTGAATCTGGGCTCTGTGTTCTGTGAAGAGACCATGTCTCAAAAAATATGAGTGGGAACTATTGACTAAGAGACTGGTGTTGACCTCTGGCCGCATTGTGTGGGCTCACATGTACATGAACACAGATGTATACCATACATGCATGCACCACACACACTGATGTACTGCATAAATGTTACAGAATTTATCCAGGAGAAATTAGCAAATACACTGTGCATCAGTCATAGGTATTGACTCAGCCTCAATGATGCCAGTGTTGTGCTTTCAGAACAGTGCTGGTGCATTTGTAACAAGCACTTGGGTTAGAGTTGCTCCCTCTTCTCTAGTTCCAGCTCAACCAGGACAAGATGAACTTCTCCACCCTGAGGAACATCCAGGGTCTGTTTGCTCCCCTGAAGTTACAGATGGAGTTCAAGGCAGTGCAGCAGGTGAGTCTGCTCTGTCCCACGTGGGCTGCCAGTGTTTTCATGGTGGCTGTTACGTCCCTTGTTCCCTTGCAGCCTGCTCTGTAGCAAGTGACCCTGCTTCTGCTTCATAGAGGAAAGGTTGTTGAAGGAGGTGGCTTTATGTTATAGACACGGTGTCTGAAAACGTGGCTGACTACCTTTGTGTTTCTCTGCCTCAGTGGGTTACCGTGGATATACAGCTGGGTGAACCTATTGCTTAAGGAGTAGCAGTGTGCAGACGTCTTTCTGCCTGTGAGAACTGTCCCCTGCCTGTGTTCTGGTATTCCATTGCATCACACTACTTCTGGGAACAACTAGCCATTGTTAACAGTCCTATCTGTAGCAGCAGACACCTTTGTTTTCTCTTCTTGCTTTGGCTCACCAATGGCAGTTACATATATTCAAATCCCACCTTAAAAGTTGTACCAATCCCCAGTTATTAATTAGTTTTAAGATAGGGTCTCACTATGCAGCTCTAACTGGCCTGGAATTTGCTTTGTAGACCTTGCTGGCCTTGGACTCCCAGAGATCTGCGTGCCTATGCCTGCTGTGTGCAGTGGTCAAGGGAATGGGCCCCCACACCTCACCCACATGTCGTCTTTTCTCTCTCGTGGGCGTCTACAGATTCAGCTGCTGAAAGCCCTTTTTTCCTTCATCTGTTTCTTTGCTTCCTCTTCCTCTGTGCCAGTGTCTTCAGTTCCTGGCGTATGGGGGCGTTTGCTTCCGAATAATGTAGACGTTTTCTTACCCCATTTTACTTGAACACTGTAGCATTCGACACACAAAACTCCTTCCTTTTCCCTGTAATTTCAAGCCCTCAAACCTTTGTCCCCTTCCTCTCCGAAACCCATTTGCAGCTGTTGTGTGGTTCCTTTAGTCTGCTCACTGAAACGGGAGTTTGGTTAGCGCCCTTCTCTGCTCTTGCCTCACTGTTTGCTGCCAGTCTCTCTGTTACTCGCATGCTGTTGACTTAGAGTAGTTCTCCTGATCTGGGAACCTAGAGGTTTTTCTGGTTGGAAGGCCCACAGACCCCTCGGGTTTCACATGAGTCACGTAGAAGAACTCGTTATTCCTCACGTCTTTATGGGCGGCAGACATTGGATCATTATCCTTGGTCGCTTCGCTGGGTGCCTTGTCCCCCCCCCCACCCCCAGACGTCTGGTCTTTACTAGAGCTGCCTTTCTGTTGTACTGCAGGGATTCTCGCCCTGGCTTCTCTCAGCCCTCTGCCCTGCACCCAGAGTGCTGTAAAACAGATCTTACTGTATACATTCCTCTGCCCTCCATATAAAACCCAGCTCCTGCTGCATTGGCTTCTTGCTGCCTGCTTTAGGCTTTCATACGTTGGTTTCCTGCTCCCTTTCTCTGGCCTAGCTAAACTTTATAGTCTTGCGCTCAGTGCTGTGAATGCCATTGATTGTATAGGCTTGTGGTTCTGCAAGCTACTTTAAGTACTTTGCAAGAATAAGGCTCTAAAATGGCTTTAAATGAGAATGAGAGTTGGTGTGGGCTGTACCAACTAGTCTAAACACTCAAGAGTAACATTCGGAAGCATATCTGTTGTTGTTTAAGGTTCACTTAGTCTTATTTTAGTTCTACTCTCGTGCATGCGTGCATTTGTGTGTGTGTGTGTGTGTGTGTGTGTGTGTGTGTATGTGTGTATGTGTCTGTATTTGCTTATGTGTCTATGCACTGTGTGTGTGTGTAGTGATCACAGAGCAGATCCCCTGGGACCTCAGTTACGAACTGTTCTTAACCTGCATACAGGTGCCGGGAACCTGGTTTCCCTGGGAGAGCAGCCAGTGCTCTTCCCTGCTGAGCTATCTCTCAGTTCCTTGGTATGAAATGGAAGGACAGTGAGAACAGCACAGCGCTATTCTGAAGATTCCAGGGAAACTGGTTGCCACAGAACCGTTAGCACCCTTTATTTCCTGTCTGCCTTGTAAGTTACATATTGCTAGTAAAGTGGATGGCCTAGGTTTTTAAATACCATTTTGTCGAAGAGCTTTGCTCTGTCTGACCCATTTCCCTGACCCCTTCCTTGTATTTTACAAGCTCCACTTTGGGTTCTCTTCCACGGTTGTCCCTGACTTAACTGCATCCCAGACCCTTTACCCTCTTCTCCATTTATAGGTTCCTGTTTCTATTTCTGTTTCTTCTCTTTCTTCTCTCCTCACCATGCTTCTTCTTTTTTGGTTTTGAACGACAGCTGGAGAAATTTTTTCACATTGTAAAGACCAATGTAAAGCCTGGGGCTCTTGGCAATTGAGAACAGCACCTTCTCTGAGTGGGGAGGGGAGGTCTATACCGCCTCTGCAGGTGGCGAGGGCTTTCAGCTATAGCGTCGTTTGTTGCTGAGCACCTCAGACTCTTGGTAAAGTGTAAAATGATCTGCAGCAGGACTGCAGACTGAGGTTGACTACATTTGAGTGTGGTGAGTGCCGACTGTGACAGTGGTGGCTGGGTGCAGGCTGTGCAGCTCACCCCGTCTGTGTCCACTCTTTGAGACGGGTGACTGGCACAAAGCTGTGTATGGGTCAGTGATAGTCAGAATGTGAATCCAGATGCTTCTGCCTGCACAGCCTGTGCTTTCATTTGGTTACCAGTCTGCACCTGCTTCGGTGCATGGCAGAAGAGGTCACAGTGGCTAAAGTGATACTGACTTAAAAGTCTCGTGAATGAGTTTGGTCTGCATGACCAGTTACCGCTGTGTGAGAAAAGTTTACCTTTTACCTTTGTTCTAAGCAGTGCAGAACTACATGGAAATGAGGTGCCCCCTTGCTCAGTAGAGTGATGTTCACTCGACTGGGATTCCTCAGGAACCTGGTCTCCCAGTGCTGGAGTGAGGCATGGTGTTAGGCTCTGGGAATGTGTTTTTCATCATGTGCAATGAGTCTTTCTCTGTCCTACCAGCCAGCTTCCAAATAACCACACAGATTAATTATGAAAGCTTGGCCTTTGCTTAGCTTGTTTCTGACTAGCTCTTATAACTTAAATTAACCCATTTTTGTTCATCTACGTGCTGCCATGTGGCTTTTGGCTTTTACCTCTCCTCCTGTGTGTCCTGTTTCCCCTGTCCAGCTGGTGACTCCTTTCCTCTTCCTGGAGCTTTCTCTGTCTGGAAGTTCTGCCTATATCTTCTGCCTAGCTATTGGCCATTCAGCTCTTTATTATACCAATCACAGCAATACATCATCACAGTGTACACATATCCCACAACAATCACACAGTATGTGTTGTAGTTTTTCTGAACAGAAGCAATGCCCCAAAACACTGATAGATATGGTGGGTTAGTTAGTGGTAGTAAACAGAGGCAGACATGGTGGATTAGTTAGTGATAGTAAACACAGGAAGACATGGCAGATTAATAAGTTAGTAAAATTTACTGTTCCAGTGCCAACACACTTTAAAACTTGGTCTGCTCCTAAAGTATGATTTATTTTTTTTTCACTGGCTAGATTGCAGTTTTACTTAGTTTTGTACAGTTTTCAAATAATGAGTAGAAGAGCATGGGGTTATGACACACAGTCTGCCTTTCCCTTCGGTTTTTCTAACGCTGCTGCCCTTTTCTCCCCTAGGCTCAGCGTCTTCCATTCCTTCCAAGCTCAAACCTGTCACTGGATATTTTGAGGGGCAGTGATGAGACCATTGGTTTTGAGGATATTCTTAATGGTGAGTGACACTAATACTTACAGAACCCTGTGCTGTTTAAGGTGACAGCAGCCAATGGTTGTTGTCCCTAGGGAAATAAAGACTGGCTGGAGTTGTTTGTATTTATTCACAGCCCTGAGATAAGATTTAATGGTAATAATTCAGGTGGCTTGTTGTTCTGAGATTATGCATTTCGGTCAGTTTAGCATTTGCTTGTTCTTTGTCCTGAGTCAGGCTGGGCACTCCATCAGTGCCGTGTGCGTTTATTGGGAAAGGCTGATATTGGTGCTGTCCTAAGCCGTGTGTGTCTGTGGGACTGGTTTTCAGATAACAGAAGGAGTTGGATAAAGAGGTCTTTTATAACTTAAAACACCCCATCCAGTAATCTGTGTGCTGAGGTGGGAAGTGAGAAGGAAGAGCCTGCCATTGTTCACCAAATTCTCCCAGGAACGGTATTGTGGCTGAGATGTGTGACCTCTGAGTAAGAGCCTTGCACACAGAGAGCATCCTATGCTTCTTCCAGACCCACCCTGTGCACAGCCTCTGCCTGGTCCACCCTAGCAGTGCAGGGGACGTAGAAAACCAGCAAAGCTACACTGTATTTACTTTGCTGATACCTGGTGGTGGACACAGCAGAAGTCTAGTGAGGGGACTTTATGAATGCTGGAAAACCTAGTGTTCCAAAGCACACTCAGACTCCTAGAACTACAGTTTGGTCCATTTATTCTTAGCTTTAGATAGAAGTTACTAAGTTAGCCGGGCATTGGTGGCGCACGCCTTTAATACCAGCACTTGGTAGGTGGATCTCTCTGAGTTCCAGGCCAGCCTGGTCTACAGAGTGAGTTCAAGGATAGCCTCCAAAGCAACAGAGAAACCCTGTCTCTAAAAACAAAAACAAACTCCCCCCCCCAAAAAAAAAGAGGGAAGGCTGTTTGAGGCCAGAGAAACAATAGGTCTGGGGTCTGACACTTAAGGCTTGTAAGGGATTGGAATAGGTGGGCTAGAGCAAGCCGTGGGTTTCTGGATGGTGGAAGAGCCCGGAGCCTTCCCATGGCAGATGTCCAGATGTCAGCACTCTGTTGGTCCCTGAACTGTACTTCTTGCAGTGAAGAGAGGGTCGGATGATGCTCGTGTATTTGCTGTTTTGTTTCAGAAGGGCTCCTCAGTCTTAAATTAGGCATTAGGGATGCTTAATTGTGGGCATCTCTGGCTTTGGGGGCTGCTGCAGGCTTTAGAGAGGCTCAGTGGCCTTGTCTCACCGCACAGAGGAACACTTGAAGCTCTGAGTTGTGATCGTCGCCTCGGGTCACAGCAGTGTTGTGTTCCATGTGTTGAGCACAAAGGCCATTGTCAGCCTGAAGGTTGGTGTGCAATTGGTAGTGTGGCTTAGTGGCACTTGTTTCAAGGTTCACAGTGTGTGGGGCTGGCTCTTAAGAGTGATGGGAACCAGTAGGATACAACATGGAGTAAGGTGAGGTTGAAAAGCCAGCCGGGCCAGATAAAGCAGTACCTGCGGGCCACACACAGACATTGGATGCTTACCCAGAATGCCCTCAAAGCCGGGTAGTCATCTTAGGCAGAGCTCTGATGTGACATAATTTCATGCCTCACAAGATCATGAAATGAGCTTGCGCGCATCTCTTTTGTGTTCATTCTCTGCATCTCTGTAAGGTAGAAGTTAGCTACAGAGTTAGTTCCCCTGTCAAGGGAGCTCGTGTCTGCCATGGTGAGGCTGCTGTGGTGCACTTGGAGTGGCGTTCCTCAGTTGGGAACTGTGTGTGCATAGATGGGGTCTTGTTCATCGGTGAGTGACCTCTCCACACACCACGTTCATTTGCATGCTGCCCAGACTGCAGCTTGGTCTTGGAGTGTTGGCTAACTTGGTTCTGCACGTTTTATGAGCACACCAGGAAAGTTAAAACTGGGCTTTCCAAGGTGCCCTCACCTCCTTACTTGTGGTGAGTGAGCTTAGGTTCCAGCAGAGACTTCTCTTGTCCCCTGGGAGCTCAGGGCACACTTCCTAACTTGGGAGCTGATTCCTTGCTGCTGGGTGCTTCCTGTTTTGGTGAGAGTGATAATAAATTCTTGGTGAGTCAGAGCTGAAAGAGTTACCTAGTAGTGTACTCTGTGGTCAAAACCTAAAACAGCACTTCAGCAGATTCTCTATGTGCCCTCAAGCCTCCTTTGCTCCCACAAGCCACCTGTGCTCCAGCACCCTGAGTTTCTTGTGCACACCACTGATTTGGTGCACTGGGCTGGGTCAGAGTTGAGGAAGGCGAGATTTCCAGGGCTTGATGGGGCTTGTCTTACAAAGTCTCTACCTGAGGTGGCAGGGTTTAACATGCTCTTGCTTTGGAATTCTGGTTTCTGTCTTCGTGTCTGTGATGGTGCAAACAATAGAAAGGATAAAATGCTTTTGCAAAAGCTAGAGAAAGGCTCAGTGGTTAAGAGCACTGGCTGCTTGCTCTTCCAGAGGACCCGAGTTCAATTCCCAGCACCCACATGGCCGCTCACAACTATCTGTAACTCCAGTTCCAGGGAATCTGTCTCACAGACATTCATGCAGGCATAATACCAATGCACATAAAGTAAAAATAAATCATTTAAAAAATCAAAAAAAAAAAAAAAAAATGGCCAGGTGGCGGTGGCACAAGTCTTTAATTCCAGCACTCGGGAGGTAGACATCAACTGATCTTTATGAGTTTGAGACCAGCCTGGTCTACAAGAGCTAGTTCCAGGACAGGACCCAAAACTACAGAGAAACCCTGTCTCGAAAAATCAAAAAAGAAAAAAAAGAAAAAGAAAACAACAAAAAATGTGTTTGCAATGTAAATTGGTCTTAGATGAGAAGCCATCAAACATCAGAACTTCGGGGAAAAAACTTTCTTCTTTTTTAGATTTATTTATTGAAGGGCAGTGGTGGTGTACACCTTTAATCTTAGCACTAGGGAGACAGAGGCAGGAGAAAGTCTGAGTTCAAGGCCAACCTGGTCTATAGAACTAGTTCCAAGACAGCTAGGTTACACAAAGAGATCCTGTCTGGAAAAAAAAAAAAAAAAAAGACATTTTATGTGCATTGCTATTTTGCCTGCATGCATGTCTTGTGTGAGGAGGGTATCAGATCCCTTGTAACTGAAGTCACAGACAGCCGTGAGCTTCCATGTAGGTGTGCTGAGAATTGAACCTGGGTCCTCTGGAAGGGCAGCTAGTACTTTTAACCACTGAGCCATCTCTCCTGAGGTTCATTTTAAAGAACCAAATTGTGATACGATTTATATGCTCTTGGATGTATCTGTTTTTAGGTGGACAGTTCCGTCCTTTATAAATACACGTAGCTGGGTCTCCTCAATCAAGATACAGAATTGTTTTACTGCTCATCCCAAGTTCCCTTGGCCCCTCTGCAGTCATTTCTCTGTCAGACAGGCTGCTTATTGTCACATTGGGTTGGTTTTAGTGGGCACAGGTTCTGATATGATGACCCCTGAACTTACTGTCTGTGTCTGAAGAGTCCTTTATGATGTCTGTTTTTGTTTCTTTTCAGATCCATCACAAAGTGAACTAATGGGCGAGCCACACTTGATGGTGGAGTATAAGCTGGGCTTGCTGTGATGCAGGGTGTTGCTGTGCGGGAACATGGAAGTGCATTGTTGTTGCCTTTGCTACGGTCTGATGTACACAGCATTAAAGAACTAACAAGGACACTTGGAAGTGTTTGGGTCTTTAGTTTTGGATTGTGAGTCAGTTGAAAGCCTGGAGGTGGTTTCTGAGCTCTGAGGTTACAGCAAAGCCCTGGTTCCTGTTTCTCCTAAACGTTACAAACACCACAGCTTTCTCCTCTTCTGTAAACTTAGTTTCAGATAACCATCATTAGGATTTTTGGGGTTTTTTTAAGGTTCTTTTGTTGTTTTGTTTTGAGACAGAGTCTCTCTCTTATCCAGCTCAGGCTGGCCTGGAACTTGATCTGTAGACCAGGCTCGCCTCAAGCTCACAGAGTTCTTCCTCTGCCTCCTGAGTGCTGGGATTAAAGGTGGGAGTCATCACACCTGGCTTGTCATTGGTATTTGAGCTTATAGAATTCCCAGGCGCCTTCTTCATGACAGCATCTGTGATGGGTTTGGCGATAGTACCTAGGGCTGAGTGCAGAGGCCAGGCCGTGCTCTATAGGGTGGCACTTGCATCTTACAGGTATACTAAGTATTCTTTCATGTTGGAAAGTGTAAAGTTTGGAGATTTTGATCTTTTTTTTAATGTGAGAAATTAGTTACAGAAACCAAGGTTTGTAGATTGAACTCTGGCGTTTCATAGATTTACTTTGTATTTTAGATTACCAAGCAATGTTCTATTGAAGAAGAGTATGCCTCTTATTTTTAAGTTAAACATCACAATACAGAGATGTTTTAAGTTATTAGAATATTCCTGTTATACATCCATGGACAGTTCCATGCTACTTGATTTATATTTCAACATGATGGTTCTTAAAAATATTGTTCATGGACCTGGTCTATAAAATCTACTGGTAGTGCATGCCTTTAATCCCACCACTGGGGAGACAGAAGCAGGCAGATCTCTGAGTTTTAGGCCAGCCAGAGGTATATAGTGAGACTCTGTGTCAAGACAAAACAAAAACCCCAAAGCTAAAAGTTTTCACAACATTAGTAAATGGATCATTTTTTACTAGTTCTGGAGTATTGTGATCACTGACTTTTTAGGAATACAATATCTGCAGATAGCATGGGTGTCAACTTTTAGTCTCGGCTGCTACTGGCTTTGATGGATAAAGTGGGGAATGCAGCTGGACATCTACACTGCATTTGACCTTAGTTTCTGATCAAATGACACAAAGAATTTCTTATTTTTTGTTTGTTTTTGAGACAGGTTTTCTCTGTGTAGCCCTGGCTGTTCTGGAACTCACTCTGTTGACCAGGCTGGCCTTGAACTCAGAGATCTACCTGCCTTTGCCTCCTGAGTGCTGGGATTAAAGGTATGAGCCACCACCACAGCCACTACCTGTCTTACTACTCCACTGTGAGACTCATCATTTATATTAAAGGGGTAGTATTCGGTGTCCCGAGAAAGCAAAGCGTATTGGTGCTTCCTAATCTGGACCCCACTTGTTTGCAGTTGGGAAATCATATGGGTCCCTTGAAACTTGCATATTCCCCTGCAGTTTCCCCTTTGATGCTCCCATGGAGTATGAGAATTGTTTAATGTTTCCTTGCCACTGTCCGGCTTCCAAATTACCAATCTGCATGTTCGAGGCCCTTTATAGGAAGTTTCTAAATCTGCTGAGAAAGGGCTCTGTGTGCTCACTTAGTACCTCCAACACCAAGGGATTCTCCAGCAGACACTGGCAGGCTGTCCTGTAACTCTACTCACTCTACTCTGCTTTGAGTATTTGCAGGGCCAGGTAAGGGCTCTGTCCTACAACACTGTCTCCACAGGCATCGATCATGAGGACTCCATTGTGTGTTGTACTAATGTCAGATAGGTTGCATATAGTTTCCTATGCCCCTCTCGGGTTCAGTGATTTGCAAACATAGCTCACAACACTGTCATTTGCTAAGAAAGATATCCCAAAGGACAGATGAACAGCCAGGTGGAAGAGGCTGAGAGTGTCAATTGCTCCTGAGGGATTTCCATGGGAGCTCATCATTAACTCACAGGCTCTCTCCTTTTGGGATTTGAGGTTGGGGGAGGGAGGACTCCAGGCTTTGATCACAGTATTAGTGTGTGATTAAAATTCGTAACACTAGGGATAAAGGAAGAACAGGGATAAAGGCTGGGCGGTGGGGAAGCACATCTTTAATCGCAGCACTTGGGAGGCAGAGGCAGGCGGATCTCTTTACTGACTTTTCATTTATCCCTGTATGGTGGGTGTCCACACCCCCCCCTTATTTTTATTGGGGGCCGTGCCAACCACCTCTGGCAACTTCAAGGAAGCAAACTGTAGATACAACAGTGTGGTTGTGCCCAGGAACTCTGAGGCCTGCATGGGCCTGTACAAGTTCAAGCTAGACAAAATTCTGGCATGGAGGTAGGTAGGGTGTGGGCCCAGGATCTCACCACTAGCTTAGGAGCTATTCACATTTAATAGCTGCTGGGAGAGGGATTCCCTTTCTTTAAACGTGTGACCCCTGCAAGGATCACCACACTCCAGGGCAAGCACCACTCCTAAGAGTAGCTGGACAAGGGTTTAAGAGCAAACAAAAAAGCCTGAAGCTGATTAGGTAGGGAGATGAGGGTGGAGACTATGTTTAGGGAGGAAGTTTTCAATAAAAAAATATAAGTTTATTACTATTGATTATATGGTTATTGATTATGATTATGTACTATAGCATCTCTGTTAAGGTTAGAAGACAGCTTGTCGGAGTGGGTTCTCTCCTACCATTTTTGTTCATGGGATTGAACTTCAGGTTATTCAATGATCTTGGTGTCGAACACCTTTATCTGAGGAGCTATCTTGCCAGCTCTGGGTTAGCTTCTAAAGTAGATTGCAAGATCCCATTGTGGATCTACTGAATTCAAATATCCAGAGCAAAAAAACAAGTGGACTGTCTCCATCTCCCCCCTTACCGCTCTTCTCCCCCACTGTTGCATGTCTCATAATTCTAGTATACAGGCATTTCTCTAGAAGAACTCCAAGCCCAGACAATCCACCCTGATTAGCAAGCTCATTCACCAATCCATCAGTTTCTTGGTTCATGGAGACCCATCCCAGGACCTCTAGTGGATGCCTGAAACTTCATGTTACCTAACTCTTACTGTTTCCCCCATGCCCGTGATAATTTATGAATTAAAAGGTGATTATTAATTTACAAAGTAAAAGGTCTGGTTAACAGCTGATATAAACTAAAGCAATTGCTGTAGTGTCTTATAATAAAATCTTATGGCTGGGTCTCAAGGCAAGACACTAATAGTTTTGGACTTTGACCACAGGTAACAAGCCACTGAGCTAAAACAATGCTGTAGAGAGATGGATGTTCCTCCATGACAAGATTTTATTCAGGACATGTGAACCAGCTCACCTTTTTCTATACTGCTGAGCCAAAGGAGCAGTTTCTTCTTTTGTTTCCTGGATTCTGTAAAGATCAGAATTATCTCTTTAAATAATCGGGTTGTACCATGGATATTATGATGGCTTTCTTAAAAATTAATTTTTTAAAAGATTTATTTTTAATGTATGTGTGTGCACCATGTGTGTATAGTACCCGAGGAGGCCAGAAGAGGGTGCTGGATCCCCTGTACCCAATTACAGATGGTTGTGAACACAGGGTGGTGAACATAGGGTGCTGGGAATTGAACCCAGGTCCTCTTAATTGCTGAGCCGTCTCTTTTGCCCCTGTTTTTGAGACAGGGTTTCTCTGTGTAGTCCTGGATGTCCTGGGACTCAACTCTGTAGACCAGGCTGACCTTGAACTCAAAGATCCACCAGCCTCTGCCTCCCCAGTGCTAGGATTAAATGCATGTGCCTCCGTCACCACCCTGCTCCTTGTAAAATTTGTATTATTTATTTATTAACGTGTTTTAAGATGGTAGGTTTGATCATGACATTTGATACAGTGCTTCAATGTGCTCCTATTCAATCCTTCACACACTTGTTTTGCCCTCTCCTCCCCCCTGCCTGCCTTCAAATAGTTCATCTTTTTCAAGTGTGAATCTAGAGTGTATAAATGGGAAAAAACACATTTGTCTTTCTTCCCATTGCCCTCTCGTGTTTCCCAGCTCCATTAACAACCCCACTCCAATTCTTCTACTTTCAAAGATAACTTCGTTTCTGAGTATATTCCCCCCATTCCATCAACTTCCTTATCTCTCTAACCTCCTCTGCATCATATTTAATGACCTCTTCAGACAGACACATTGGAGGTGCCTGTATTTACTCGTGATCTGTTTTTGACTCTGGGCTAGCAGTCGAGTCCCTTAAATTGCTATGCTTGAAATAGGCTTCTACTCAGCCAAGAAGCTATCTATTGACCCTTAGCTAAATTAAGATCATTCTGGGGGCAGGGGTTGGATGTTGGTTCATCAATTAAGAGCACTGGCTGCTTTTCCAGAGGACCTGGGTTCAATTCCCAGAACACACATGACAGCTCACAACTGTCTGTAACTCCAATTCTGGGTATCTGACATCCTCCCACAGACAAAACACCAATGCACACATAAAATAGAAATAAATTTTAAAAAATAAAGGTGAGAGTTATGATTTAAAAGACAAAAGGATCATCCTTTCTAGTATAGAAAACAGGTAGTCACTGTAGAGTGTACAGGTGAAGACAGATAAGACAGTATGGATGCATTTTTGCCCATTTGCAGTGTTGGGATTAAGTATAGGGCCTTGCACCTGGTAGACAAGTGCCCTGCCCCTGAGCACGCCCTATCCCTGCTGATGTGGTTTTCAGTGCCGTTTGTTCATTGTGCAGTTCTTGCTTTTGAATATGAGCATGTACACCCTGGCAGTGATGACGCTTCTTAGTGTTCATCTTAGTGTCCACCTGCACACACTGCTATTGTAGAGTGACCAAAGTCCATCCAAATGTCCCTGAGACTTCCCTTCCTCGTCTGTCATGTGTAGGAAATGAAGATCCATTTTACAGGGTTACTAAGAATACAATACCTTGATAGAGAATGGACTTCACAAATCATAAAGTGCTTTTTTTCAGATTATAGAGAACATCATGGCATCTGCATCTTCACACATAACTTTGAAA